TTCTCTGTTGGCCCTTCCCACTGAGCACATCCATGTCCCGAGTAAGTGGGAACAGCATTTTTAACATTTACAGCTTTTAATGTGCTTTCATAATACCAAACCTTTAACACTTAGAGCTTTTATACTTCTTGACATGCCAAAGAGGAGAGGTGTGGGTGCCTGTTTGTATTTTTCTTGATTAACTAACAGTATTTCTTTATCCAAAGTCTGAATACTCCCAAGCATTGAAGGCATGGCTTACAGTTAGCATGCTGCTTTCAATACCTTTGTATCTCCTGTCTATCTGTGACAAGGAAAAGTGACAACTGGAAATCTGCAGCAAGAGCAAACCTCAAAGTATAATGGTGCTGCAGGGCAGCTGGCTCATTGAACATTCAGTATCCCTTGTTTTAAGCTGCTTGGATGGAGTCACATCCCCTCTGCTGCAATTTCACCACAGGATGGGGTGGAACAGTTGAGGCAGCTCTGGGCAGCCCTGTCCTGTTTTTGTGGAAGCCCTGGGAGTGTTTGCACAGCCAGGGAAGGCAGGCTTGGCAAATACCTCCCAGCAGGACCTGCCTGGTGAAACCTGCAGGTGTCTGTGCCCCAGGCACCAGTGCTGGTGTCCTGCTCTGTGCCACTGGCCACTGTACACTGAATGTACACTGAGTGCCTCCTCCCCACTGTGAAAAGGCCAAGAAACCAACCCCAAACTACAGAATGTCTGCAATAAATTCATCTCCCCACCCCCCTTTTTTCAGTGTGGCTGGGTGGGGTGGGTTGGGTTTTCTCCCCTGGAAGAATGTGATTTATCTTGTCTTGTATTCCAGGGAAAAAGCCCTCTGAATGTAAAAGTTGTTTTCACAGGTAGCACAACCTGCCCTGGAATATCTGTGTCCATTTATAAACACTTGGGAGTGCTTGGGAAGAGTGCTCCTCACAGGTGGCATCAGACAGGTCTGTGGCAATCTGTATGGATGTTTTAAAAATGAATACAGCACCACAACAGGTGTGATTAAAATGTGAGCAGATGGTACTAACAGAGTAAGTGAAAAACAGGGAAAAAACAATAAAGGCAGATTTCCTTTGGAATAAAATCAGCATCTGGGTTCCAGTTCCCTGGGGCAGCTGCCAGCAGGACAGGGGAGCTGGCAGGGACCAGGGGTGCTGGTCAGGCTCAGAGTTGTCCAGCAGGCAGCTCCTGCATCTCCTGCTTCCTGACCACTGACAGAGTAAATGCAAAACAAGTGGTTGCTTCTAAATGGGACAGACAATCTCTGATTTATGAGAAATATTTCTTTGGACCTTTTCCTGTACGAAATCCCATGCTTCTCTCCTTTCTCTTGTTGTATTTTACTGGCACACACTGTGATGTTCAGGGGACCTAGGCTCATTTTTATACTTGTTTTGTATTTCTCTTTTTTTTTTTTTAAGTAAAAAATGTACTGCATGTCACAGCTGGAGACGTGGTTAATATTTAGAAACCATGCTGGATTAAACTTCTTTTAATAGAAGTATTGGGTGTCTTTACTTACTTGAAGACCTGATTTTGCTGCTTTGCCTGTGCCCAGCACAAGGGGCAATGACTTCAGGAATCCTAAATCTGGGGAAGGGGCACAGCTCAGAGCCAGCCCTGGGGACCAGCCACGGGACAAACCTCTTCCTTAGGACATGAGATGAAAAAATTTAACCAAGAATTTGTTCTACTATTGAGTAGACATTTTGGATTCAGTGCTCTCTCTTGTAAACCAATAAACAACAAAGTCCCCTTCGGGTTCATCCTTCACACACCCAAAATATATTGAGGTTTTCTGGTCATTTTTTCCATGTTGGTTTAAAGGAAACGGGCACCAAACAAAATGTTCATTAGTTGCTTCGGGATTGCTTTAGCAGCTTGCAGTGAGGTGCCTGCCCAGAGAATTTCCTTACTGGCTTTTCAGTCCTTGATGGCTCCGATTGTTTCAAAGCACTTTGCTCCCAGGGTCAAGCACTTCTGTAAGATCCCAGGCTTTTATTAAAAATGACCTGTTCCCATGACTGAAAGAAAACATGGTTCTGTATTTTAGAGATATCATTTCAGAAAATTAGATTTAAAATAATTACTTCAAAGCCAGTTTGGATTGGGGTGGAAGGGGCTGACTCACTCTTCTGCCCATATTCTGCCACAAATACTGCACCAAGTTCAGGGTCTGGGGCACGTGGAGGAAAAGTCAGCTTGGCTTTTGGGGTGTGTTTGGTTGTTTTTCCTCAACTGACATCAAAAGGGTGCTGGGAGCACTCTCTGCAATTCAGGAGACAAGCACAGCACCCCCCCTGCAGTGTGGAACCCTTAAGTGAGTGCTGATTTCAGTGGCCTCCTCAGACACCTCTTTCCAATCACAATCACTCGTGTCCTGTGGAGGAGCTGCTTCCAAAGCCCCCAGAGCCCAGTCCCTGCCCTCACTGCAGCCACCTGGAGTTCCTGGGCCTGCCTGAGAAGGAGTTTCCAACCCCAAGTGTGGATGAATCCTTGTAGGAAGAATGCCAGAAGTTCCATGACCCCAAAGCCACCGACAGGAAGGGAAAGTGGCTCCTCAGGTGAGTTCACACAGCTCTCCTCTGCCTGAAGGGCTCTCTCCCTCCTACCAAGTTTTTCCATTTATCTGTGGACTTGCTCAGACTTGTGCAGTGATTTTTGGACAGGTGACACTAAAGAGTTCAAAAGACCTTTCCAAGAAACTCAAATACCTTTCCAAGTAGCTGGTTTAGATTCTGACTGAAGTAAGAGGCTCTGTTATCCTTTGAACACCCTGGCCATTACCCCACCCAACTGTGCTTTTCACTTGATACTGTTTGAAGTTCCTCAGGTCTTCAGTTTCCATCTGACAGTCACTTCCAGGAAAGCAAGGAAGAGCAGAGAATCTCAGCTGCTGTGGTGGTGGAGAACAGCCTGGTGTGCTGGAAAGCAGAACACAACTGCTCTGCTCAGTAAGCACCTGGTTCCACTCATTGTCCTTCTGCTAAGCAAGTTCACTGGGCACAGTTCTGGTCAGAAATAATATCATTGAGTGGCTTCACTCCAGATTTGCACCAGGACACAAACTGCCCTCCAGGGCAAATGCCACATGTGCAGCATGTGCAGAGCAGCCCCACCTGGCCCTCCGTTAATCCTCAGAGAGGATGCATCAAGGAGGCAGAAGAAATTTCACTGAGAATGTGAACCTTCTCACATCTTTTTGCATGGCTTAAAAGTCAGGATCTTTAAAAAGTCAGGAATAAATAAACAGGAGTGCATCAAAGAATCCACACTGCAACACAGATAGTCACCCTAGGACACTCCTTTACTGGAAGAATTCACTGTTCAGTGTTTTGTAAAGCTTCCAGGCCAGAAAGTAAAACAGTGTTACCCAGAAAATTTAAGTGTGGTTTTGTTTGGGGCTTTGGAGAGGAGGAGTTTGGGTGGAGGTTTTTTGGTTTGGGATTGTTAGGGATTTTTTTTTCTTGGTTGGTGGGATTTGGTTTTGGTTTGGTTTTTTTATTGCTACTGCTTTTGTTGATTGTTTGGTTTTGGTTGTTTTTTAAAAATAACTCAATTTTTAAATCCACTTCCGTGAAGAGGAAAATACTGATTCCAACGGTTTTTTTCACCAGGAAATCCTTGTCCTTTTCTTTTATGGATTTTGGACACACATTTTGTTAGCCTGATCCATGAATAAATTAATTACAGTGTTCCTGGGAGACTGAAGGAAGATCCAGTATCTACAAGTTAGACAATTTTTAAATTTTTTTTTTAATTTGACAGCTGATGAAGCTTCTCCTGACCCAGGAACACCATGGATACCCCTCTGGGTAATCCCACAGTGCTGCTGACAGCCCCCACAGGCAAAATGAACTGGCCCCTTGTAAGAGCCTCTGGCTCCCTCAGGGAATCCTTCCCTTGTGCCACCCCCTGTGTCCCCCTCCCCACCCGCCCCGGTCCCTCCGGTGTTCTAAGTGCAGCATCCACATTCCCAAATCCCTTCACAGACTCACCCATCCCTCGGGGCGTTCCACAGTTCTCACCTGTACTGACTCAGGGCTTCCACCTCGTGCCTAAAGCACCTGGAAACCAAAAATGCCCCCAGAGCCACTTGCAGTCCCAGCCTGAGAGGCAGCAGAGTGTTCCCCACTCCCTGGGGCATTTCAGCCCCAAAATCCCTTTCCAGTCCCAAATGGGCAGCTGCAGAGCCCAGCATGGAGCCTTGCAGCCCACGGCAGCGCACCAGAACTGCTCCAAGAGCAGTTCCACCACCAGCACGAGAGCAGCAGAGCAGTTCCACGTTCCCTCTGCTCCACTGCCTCTCCCCAAGGCTCTCCCATGGTTTCTCCTGCAGCCAGGAGTGTCCCAGGGACAGCCCCAGCCAGGGCTGCATGGTGGGTGTGCCCCCCACACAAAGTGCCTTTTGCAGCTCTGTTAGAGCCCAGGACCCCCAGTGCTGCACTGAGCACTTCTGCTGCCTCCTGGGGGGTTTCACCCCAGCAGCCCCCAAGGTCCTCGCTGGGCTCGCTCTGCTCCCACCAGCGGGATCAGGCAGAGAATGGGGAGGGGAAAAGTGAGAAAACTCCTGTGGTGAGATGAAGACAATTTCATAGGGAAAGCAAAAGCTGTGCACACAAGGAAAGCAAAACAAGGAATTAATTCCCATGGGCAGGCAGGCGCTCAGCACCTCCAGGAGAGCAGGGCCACATCCCCTGGAAGGGTGACCTGGGAAGACAAACTCCATCACTCCAAACATGCTCCCTTCCTCCTTCTTCCCCCTTCAGATGCTGATGCCATAAGACATGGGATGCCCCTGTGGTCAGCTGGGGTCATCTGTCCTGGCTCTGCCCCCCTCAACCTCCCCAGCATGGCAGCACAAGGGGCAGGAAAAGCCTTGGCTCTGGGTGAGCTCAGCATTAACACAAACATCTCTGAATTATCAACACACATGCAAAACAGCCCCACATCAGCACTAGGAAGAAAATTACCCCAGCCCAGGCCATGTTTACAGATGGAGACACTGTTTTAGTACTTTAATATGTCCATTTATTAAACAGGAAGTCCTTCACAAATGATTCCGTACTATATTGATTTGAATAAGTGTTAGAAAACTTCCATTTCTCCTACATACAAAAATACACTTTTACCACTATGAAGAATGATCAGAAGAGTACCGTGAAAACCCAGAGAGCTCCAATCTTCCAATACCAGAAAGAAAAGACAGAAAGACAACTAAATAAAAAAAAAAAATTACAAAAAGTATTGTGCCCATATACAAAAGACTGGAAAAGCAAAATGACATTTAAAACTGATAAATACACCATTTAAATTATGTTGCAATAGCATGGATTTTAAAACCAAGACTGCTTTGTGTATTGCAAGACTTTACAACTCTTCAGCTTGTGGTTTTTTATTAGCACAGACAACAAAGAAAGACCTCAACAACTCAAAGATGGTTACTGGTGTAGAAACAAGCTACACCAGGAGGCTGTGTTTTCTTGTAGAGTACCTTGCCTCTGAGCTTGGTCAAGCATTCCCAGGATACCTTTCCCACCCAGATCTGGCAGGCAGTGGGAGCTGCTCCTGGAGCACCACCTTGGAGCAGCTGCTGCATCTCCGGGCTCTGCAGAACAACGGGAAATCCTCCAGGGCTGTGAGCTGTCTCCAGGGGAATGTGAAACCCCACAGTCCTGCAGCAAGGTCTGGAGCTCAGGGGAGCCCTGGCCTGGCCCCTGGGTGAGGGGCACTGCCCAGGGCAGGACAACAGCCGGGTGCTGCCTCACACCACACTGAGATCACCAAGGGCTCTCCAGGACAGAACACTGCAGGCTGTACTCCAAAAGCAAAGTACCAAGGGTATAGCACAGCAGACTTGTGCTCATGATAAAAGGAAAATTGCATTCCCTTTGCTCAGCCTGAATAGAATTCTAACCTGGTTTTTCCATAATACCTCTGAGCTGTTTGCAATTACAAACCTGTCAATACAGCACCTGTAACCCAGAGAGATAAAGTCTTTTGGTCAGGCCTGGATGCTCCCTCTTCACAAGCTGTAAATCATCAATTATGAGCTGGAATGTTTGGATTGGGCTGCAGAATTGGTCTAGAGCAGCCAAGGTCAGCCCTGACCATACAGACACCCCACACTGAGCATCCTTCCACACGGCCCAAGGAAGGGAACCTGGAACACCAGGAATGTGCTCGGGGGGCAGCTGAGCAAAGGAGACACAACCTGTGATTCCCCAGGGGTCAGGTCCAGTGCACACAGGGAGGGAAGGCAGTGACCACAGCAGCCATAAACCTGGAGTTGGTGGGAACAAAGCACAACGAGGCCAGAGCTGAGTTAGTGACTCACATTACAAAAATAGTGTTTACTGGATTCATAAATTTACATCTCTATTCCTGTGAATGACAAGTGTTAGTACCACACATGGAAGGCACCCTAGGTGAAGCAGTTTTTCGGTATTTGTTTACAATTCTGTGAAAAGACATACAAAGTGTCAACTTCCAAATCAAATTTGAGCATTATAATGAGAAATAAATACGTACTTTACTATTTTATTGTGGGTTCCTGAACCCTTACAAACTTCAACATATACAAATAGTTTCAAAATGACACTAACACAAAAGAGAGTAAGTCTAGACAGATACAATGATTAGCTAAGTCATTCGTCCTATCATGTCATAAATGTTGTGTCTTAAGTATAGAAGTCATTTTAAAATGCAATAAATTGGACACAATATATAATTAAAAATATTTTCTTACTCCAGGACTGTGATGTATTATGAGTTAAAGCTGGATGAGCTGTAGTGCTAAGACACTCTCCCTCCACAAGATCCAACAATAGAAACTGGTAAACATTCAAGATTAAAGTAGAAACAGTAGAAAAATGAAGGTAGCAATTGTTGTAATAAAAGGGTGCTAGCCAGGACCACTTTAACCTGCAGACATCAGGATAGCTGGAACATCACTAAAGATATTCAGACAACTCTGCTTTTGGGATTAAAAGGGTACCAAAAGAGATAAATCAACCTAGTTAAGAGAGGATGTTTTCTTTCAGACACATGAAGGTTTTAATTAAGTAGGTCTATTGAGACATTTGTCCAAAGCAAAACAATACAATACCCTGAAATTTCCTGTGCTCTAGACAATGGCCTGTGACAGTCAGAAGAGGCAGATGCTCATATTCCATTCTGTTACTCACATCCAGATGTTATTAAAATAGCTGCAGGGACCAGCCCCAATCGAAAAATAAGAACCCCCCCCAAATACTTGTAAAACAATCTGGCTATTGCCTTTTAAATGCTCCTATGTCCTCACTGTGAAGCCATGAAGAAAGTTCCCATATCCTTCCATAAATGCTAACTGACTTTTAAAAGTTCTACCCATGAAGTCCACGGGATACAGATAAAACCTTCATAGTAAACACAAAGCTCTATGTTATAAATATGTCAATCAAGGTAACTATGTATATTGTATATAAAATTAAATATCTTCTGTTTGCCAAGTATAATTTAAAAAGGAATATCTGTGGCTAGTTATAAAAAAATATTTATTAACCCATAGAGATTAAAAGGCAATTTCACTAACTAGTCCATCCAGCACATATGAAAGAGCTGCACTGGGATTCTGGATAGGTTACTTTATCTAATCACATTCCTATGATAAATAGACAACTTTCATTTCTGGGCATATATAAGAACACTTCTGAAAGCTGCATATCCAAAAAGAAAATTAGAAAATTAGATTGTGTTGTATACTCTAAATTAAAGGCTACCAGAAATCACAGTGTAAGCAGATTTTTTAAAAAGATTATTTTTATACAAATGATTAAATTATAGACAGATTTTTAAAATATAACCAAAAAAAAAAAACCAAAAAAAAACCAACCAAAAAAAAAGACCAAAACAAGGGAACCCTTTCAGGTTGGACAGCACCACTCTGACTTGGTCAAGCAGATCTATAAAGGTGGCCAAGTGGCTGACAGGGAAAATAATATACCAGGAAAACCCTCTACAATGTCATTCAGAGATTTCCTGAGTATTTGTATTTTGACCAAAATTCATTTTGACCAACTCCCTCTGTCAAAATAAAGAGAGGAACGTGGCATAATTTCTATAAAGTATTTTCACACATTCCGTGCATTTTTGTACTGATTTCAGGATAATTTTGAAAAGCTTTTGTTGCCATTAAAACTCACACACAGGACACCTGCACCTGCACAGTAATTCTGAGTTTTGCTGGCCCTCCAGACAATGAACAATCCATTATTTCATGGTGCAAACACAAGTCAAGTGCCTGATTTTCAGCAGTGACAGACCCTGGCTTTCTTCCCTGTGGGACTGAGCAGGGACCAGACTGGATCCCCCTCTGGACTCTCTGGGAGCTGAGCCTGGGCAATCCCAGCCCTTTCCCAGCCCCCTGAGATCCCCATGACTGCTGTGCCCACTGTGGGTTCATGTCTCATTTGAAAGCTCTGGATTGTCAAGTGTCCTTCTCACATCTCCAATTCCTTATCAGACTGTGCCTTTTTATTATCCTGAATGCCTCCTGAAGAGTTTTGGCTCCAGAGCTTTCAGGGCAGCTCTGTTCTTCATGCTCCTCCATGCAAAAAGCTGATCAGTAGGAGAGACAAATACTACTTCCTACACTACCTGAACTGCTATTAAGTTTGTTTACATTTTTGATTATGCCCTCAAACCATTATTCTTGCTTATTTTAGATTTTTTGTGAGGTTTTTTTCCTTCACAAAAGAAAACAAGTAGAAATTATTACAACATGACATGAGACTTGAGACAAGAAAATAACAGAAAGAGGCCTGAGGAAGAGGGAGGGGGAGAAAGAAAGGATTGCATTAATAAAGCCACAGATTAGCTAAGCATTTGCAGTGCGTGCACACCCCCAAAACAGCAGAGAGGTGACCAGATTCATTTAGGGACCTTAAAGCTCATGAAAAGCTGGTGGTTGACCCACCCAGAACAGTCCAGGGCCGCCTGCAGCAGATCCCCTCTGCTGTGTGCAAGCACTGCATGAACCACTGGCTTGTCCTGGCGGGAGGGGACAACCAGCACACGGACAGAGGAACTCACAGGGGGAACACAAATTCCTCCCCAGTGGAGCGGGAACCTTTCCCTCCTCCTTCTGGAAGCAGCAATGAAAGACAGAGCTGAAACAATGCCAGAGTGTGCCGTGAGACCAGAGTGACAAACACACACTGGGAAGTGTTTGTCACAACAGGTGACAAAGCCAAGGAAAGAGCAGCACCCGCTGCTCCTTTACTGAAATCCCGTGTAAAAGACACCTTATAACTGAAAGAAGAGGAGCTGCTGCCAAGGCACAGATTTTGCTGATGCTGTGCTCCTGAATCCAGTGAGCAGCACAGTCTGGGATCAGAGATCTGCAGTCCCAGATCTCTGGAGCCAGTGCCTGTCTCAGAAGGCACAGGGAGATCACTCTCTACCCCTCCCAAGCTCCTACCAGGAATCTCAGAGCAGCACCAGCTTTCCACAGTCCCACGGGAAAGAACACCCAGCCAACCTCCTAAGCCACCAGGAAAGGGAAGAGCACCCCAGCTGAAATCAAGGGATGTTGGACACATTCTGATTTCCTGGCACTGCACAGACCAACAAACAAGGCTTAGCAAGAATTAAATATGAAAGCATTTGATCCATGAGGCACGAATATTCCAAATAAAAGGAAATGGTGGAGGAAGAAGGAATTGGCTTTACTCAGACATGAGTGAGTTCCTCTGTGGCTTTAGGAGCTCCTGCTGGGGCTGTTTGCACAGCTCAAGGACGTGGCTCCAACCTCAGCTGAGGCTGGCAAACTGAGCAGGAGAGGCAAAGAGGCTCCTCCAGCAGTGCTGCTGCTCCAGAGCTTACTGTGTAACACTGTGCACAGGCTGCAGAATGCAGTCATGTCTGCACCCAGAAACACCCAGACTCCAGAGCTGAGGGCTCTCTTGGACCAAAGGGGACTCATCCAAACCGTCACTGCTTCAAGCATCCTGTTCCTACCAAGCTCACCTGTTTGCTTTTATTTAGTTCTATTTCCAGTGGGGTTTGAGTCCCTTTATGAAGCTAAACAGCACCCTTAAGGACTAAAAGAAATTATCCCTGTGTGCTAGCAATTACAAGCAAGACTAACTGGCTGAGACAAGCAATTTAATGTCACTTGTCTAAGCAATTAAAAAAAAAAACAAAAAACTTTCTACCCTCTTTTCTTCCTTAACAGTTTTTTGTCTGACTGCAGTTTAGATAACAGTCTTAAAAAAAATACCTCTCCAATACACTGTGTCAAATTAACTCAGGGCAAATGAGCCATGGATACATCAAAATGAGCTTAGTATTTCAAATGTAGTTGTCTCTCATAGGTATTTTATTTCCCTTCTATAAAATCCAAATAGTAAATAATGTCTCTGCAGAGCAATAAGTGCTTAAGATTTTTTTAGAAAGTATATACTATACAATATTAAAATCATCTTTGGTCCCCAAAATAAGGAAATTACACATTTACATTTCCTTTTGTTTCACGAAGTGAATCAGATAGTGTTTTTAAAATTAGTGTTTTTAAAATTACTGTTCTCTTTCGGATTCCACCCTGAGAGCTGTGCTAGGCTCAGGGCCTGATGTGAGTAATGACTACTGGCATTCCCAGCTGCAGGAACCTCACCCCTCCTGCAGCAGCCCCAGGGCCCCACTGAGGTGTGACTGCTGCACTCTGCTCCTGGCACTGCAGCTCGAAGGGCTGGGACCTCACTGCACAGAAAAACCCTGAGCCACCCTTCCTCCAGGCCAGGAAAGGTGCAGGGCTTGAAAGGTACAAATTCATAAACCAGAGAGGCACAGGAGCCCGCAGAGCTCTGCCCCGACCACAGTGAGCACAGGAGAGGATCTGGGGATGCTCCTTCAGCCCTGGCCACTGACAAAACCCCCTCCTGGTTTCAGATGGCAACTCTAAAAGCATGGAGCCTCTGAAGAACTGTATTCTGTATTTCAGTAGGTGGGTTTGGCTTGATTTTGGTGTGGGATGTTTGGGGTTTTTTTTGTTTTGTCTGGTTTGGGTTTGCTTGGGGTTTTTTACAATCTTTATCCGAACTGCTTTGATGGCAGTTTACAATTCCCGACTGGGTATGCTTGTGCTACTTTTAAAAAGTCTTTTAATAATTGACATTGCAAACTCTGCCAGTCCTGGGCAGTGCTGGCAAACAGCAGGGCTGTCACAGTAGTTCTGGCAATAATAAATTGTTATTTCTTACCACACTGGCCATGGAACTGCCCCGTACTGCTCAGGGAATGCACCCAGGTGAGACAACCCTCAGTGGAATGCCTGTTCTAACCCAGCACCAAGAGTTGGTTCAGTCTTCTTTTAAACTGGTGTTCCCTTTGGCATAACATCCAATAAAGCACAATAAAATGTTACTGTAGGAACTGGTAAACCATCAATCACTAAGAAAATACAAATTTTCCTTAACCTCATCAGTAACTCTGAACTTCAATCTCATTCTTAGCCACTGAGGTGAAATGCACTATAGATGTCAATAGATTGAAAATGAAAAGGCACCACCTTTGTCACCTTTTTTTCACTCATCAAAATAATTCTCTGCTGCTCAATTTGAATATTGCAGCATTAGGTTCACACTTTCACTATGGGAGCTCCCTCCAGTATTATAAAAGCCCAGGCACTTCTCCTGACCTCCTGTTTGGTGTAACGTGGGTTTCATGTTCAATACCTCACCCACAGCACACTGCCCCTTGTTCTGACCCTGAGCAGTGCAGCTCCAGCAGGACACACAAACTCAGGCACACATGGCAAACAGTTCCACTAATTGCACAGATTTTCATTTTCCTCACACCACCAAGGAGTTCCGTTCTAGAGATCTCCTCCCACACACACTGTCTTCACACAGGCACACAAATGACAAATAATGCACTACAGCGATAAAAACACCAAAGAAACAGGAAAATATCAAGAGACATATTCCTAATAATATTGTGACATCATCTAGCCAATTACTGCTGAATTTGAGTTCTGAGTAGAGAAAATGTAATTCATTCACTGGATGTACAAGGAAAATTAAAAAAAAACAAAAACCTTCAGCTATTTACTATTTCTAAATGAATCAATACAATCATATTATTTTCCAATTAGCTAAAATCATTTTTCAAAGAATCCTAAGGGGAATAAATCTGCAGAAACACCCAGTTAAAATAAAAATCAGGTTTACCTACTACCAATTAAGGTTTAATTTTAGAACAACCACCCTTCCAAAAAGAAATATTTACCTTACGTGAATCACAACAGTGCAACCTTAGGAACACTTTAAAAGCACATAAATTTTTTGCTAGTTCTTGCTTACCCTGGGTTTAGAGGGAAAACAAGTTCCAGCAGAAACTTCTAGAAATGTTGAACCTTAAAAAAAAATAAAAAAGAAAAAAGGGGGGAAAAAAAGAAAAAAAGAAAAAGAAAGCCATGGCTGGAATGTAAGTCTGTAGGATGACAACCCCTTAGTTCTCCACTGTGCCCCTTAAGCTCCTTTTCTCCACCCCATCTCCCAAACATATTTATTTTCCCACTTTGGAATGAACACTGGGATGCAGCCAGCAGGAGCAGACAAGCACCTCCTGCCCTCAGTGCATCCCCAGGCAGGCGCGGCCCAGCCCCGGCCCTCCCAGCACCCAGGGGAACGCGAGGCACGGGTCTCCAGCAGGCAGGCAGGAGTGCAGGCCGGGCAGAGGACAGACAGACAGTTTGGGATGGACAGGTCCCTCTGGCCGAGTTATTGCTGAGTGGCCCTGGCTCCATGGGCTCCCGTGGGTGTCCCTCCTCCCTCACAGCCAGGCAGGGCTGCTCTGTCCCTGGGGCAGCTGAAGGAGCAGTGGATCTGCAGAGAGGGAAGGGAACTGCTGTGCAGTTAATCCAAAGCAACGACATACTTCAGAACAGACATATATTATATATTCTGTGAGCTATACAATATATGCCCATGTCTATGTGGAGGCCTTGAGGGGATCTTCCTTTTGAACCACCAACATTTTCTGCCTTCGTGACAGCGGCTTCTGGCTCAACACATCTCTGCACACGTGCAGGGCTGGGCATCCTCACCACCCTCGGATCCACCTTTTCCTCCTCAAACAAAGCAAAACCCTTATTCCGTGAGGGAGCGGAGCGCTGTTTCCCTGTCGGTGGCACGGGCTCTCACGCGTCCAGGCGCTGGGCCTCGGGCCGGTGCACCACCTCCCGGGACTCGGTGCGAGCGCGGATGTAGTCGCTGCTCTGCCGGCCGCTCTGCTGCCTGCTGCTCAGCCGCCACTTCTGAACCGCCACAAACGCGTTCACGGCGTACACGGCCGTGGCCAGGAAACCGAACACCTACGGGCAGCACAAAGACATGGCACAGACTGGTTGTGAAAACGAGAAGAAAAGCAGTTTCACAGCAAAGTCCTCAGAAGTTCCGCTTCCTACGTTATTTGCACTGACAAATCATCATGGCCTGGGAAATTATGTTTTCCTTCTCAATGAACTAGAGAATCTGCAAAAGTGGCTAAGATCAACGATCCCAGAAAACAGAGTTCTCTCACTACTAACATGACAATTAAAACCTGCAGTGTAAAGAATCCCCTTGTAAAGAAACCAGCCCTTCATCCAAAAGCTCATTCATTCCTTCGGATGCACACAAAAAGTGACAAGCCCAGAGCATCAGCCTCTATGCTTCAGCCTCTATGTGATTTTAAAAACCAGGTTAAAAAGGAAATAAACAAGAAAATAATAAGAGGTCGCCAACTCACACACAAAAGTAATTTGTTTGAACTGACTATTGTAGATTTAAAATCCTGAAGTGCTACTACACTCACTCCAAAGAACAAAAAAATCATCTCTACTGAGCAAGAGCTAAGCAAATTATGTGTAACAGCTTCAAGTTCTTACTTTTTGGCTCTATCGTTTCCACAGGCTTGCAACATAGAGCACCAAAGAGAAGGCACCAAAGAAAAAGACAAGTTCAACGGTAAAGTGTTCTCTGCAAGTCATTTTCCTGCTGTTCTTGCCTCAGGCCTTCAGACAAACCTCCAAGGATGTTAGCAGTCTTAAAATAAGAACTATCTCATAGCAAATTGTGAAAGCAGAAGTAAATTGTGATGGCAAAGGCAACAGGTTTATTCAATCAATGAGTAAAAGTTAATTTTCACACAAGGTAAGAGTCAGATAGAAAAAAGTTTAAATTCTTACCACAGCAGCAATTTCTGCTCCAGTTTTATGGTTTAAAGCAGCCAGTACTACAGAGGCAATGAAAAAGAAGAAAGTGCTGAGTCCAGTGTTGACCAGATCCTAAAAAAATAAATTCAGTAGCATTACTAAATGATGATTGTTTGCTTTATCAGAAGTGAAGACACAGAAGGCTGCAACAAGCACAGCAACCCCCTGCCAGTTCCTCTGGTCGCCCAGGTGTCCCACAGGAGCAGCAGGAGTGGGAGCTGCAGTCCCAGGGCACCCAGAGCCCCCTGCAGCCCTGGAACACCCAGAGCTGCCAGCACAGGGCTCACCCCGCCCGGCTGGCTGCACTGCAGAGCCCCTGCTCCTCACACCAGGAGCTCTCCCACCCTATCCCTGAGGCCTGCACTGAACAAGGCTGCATGTCCTGTGCCACTTCTGCCAGTAACAGCTGCCAGCAGGGTAAGAACAGAGATTTTTACCTATTTAATGCATAAAACTGACATCAAGCCGACATTTCAGAACATACACACTGCAACACGCTCAGGGAAAACTGCTTTGCTCCAAGCAAAGGAAAACAACTTGCTACACACAACTCCTGTCGCTGGTGTTCAGATGGTGATGTTGCAGTGCCTCACGGCAAACGGGGTCATTAACATGTCACTGGAACCAAAGGAAGAATTCTGAATGGCAGGTATTTGCACAAGAATGATTACATCAATACAAGGCTAACTGACCTGACTCGAGGAAAAAACATTCAAGGATGTAAATAACAGAAGAAACAAAGTCATTCAGGACAAGGTGTTTATTGTGTTATCACAGCTGATGTGTATGGATACTGCACTGCCTGCATGCCCCCACCAAACTGGGGAACACCATTCCCAAACCACAAAACTACCATGAATGAACAGGTGATGTCAGGGTGGAGGGATCAAGAAAGGACAATTCAGCACAAACATCAAATCTGTGAGAAGTGAATCCTACAAACATCAAATCAGTGAGAAGTGAATACTACCACACACAGAAGGGACTGAAAGAAAACCTTCAATTCGAGATTGCTGTACTACTTACAGGCTTGAGGTAAAGAAAAAAAAAACAAACAAAAAACGCCACAAAACCACAGTGAACATGACAACTCCCACCATACAAAAGCAATCACAATTTGAATTCAAGGACAATTTGTTCTACTTGACTTTCTTCTCCCACATGCAAGGCAGGCTCACTTCCTGTTACAGCTCCTTCACTTTTTCCATTTTTTTAATATTTTTTTTTTCCCAAAGTGCATCTTGTGAAGTGCAATGAGAAGTCAGGCTCTGAAGACTTAAGAGGTAACTCTAAACTTACTCCCCTGGGTACGAGTGCCACAGCTGTGCTCCAGTTACACAGCACAAGGACTTGGGAGGGAACAGTGCTGTCCAGCCAGCCCCAAAACATCTCCTTTACCAGCCACGACTACAGGATGCTGCAGAAAGTAACTGCAGAGATGGAAGGTTCTGGCACTGAGCTACTCACATAAAACAATCTGTTCTGAGGGTACTGACTCAGCAACAGCTGGTTATCAAAACTGAGTGTCCAGACTGCATGAGGCATCTCCCTGGCCTGAGCCTCATCTCAAACAGGGACTTTCCCAAGGAATCAGAGAGGTTCCCATGGCTCATGGCCACTTCCACACTCATATCCAGATGTCACGAGCCCATTAAGACCCAAACTCTAATCAAATAGTAAAGAAACAAAAGTAAACTTTGGGTATTACAAATTCCTACCAATTTTTCACCTGCCTGTGTACAGAGATATTTTTTTACCCCTGTTCAAGCTCACTGAGATAGGCTCTGCCTGAGACTTAGGACATCAAGCAAATCCAAATTCTATTAACTAGTTCTTGCAGTTTTAATTACATAACTTTTTCTTTTGAGAGATGAAATTTAAACTTTATATAAATAGAGGTATTAGAAAGTAAATGGCACTACACAGTTTCTCCAAGAGTGCCCCTCTGCAGCTCTGAGTTTACAGCTCTAACTGTGCTCCTGCAGCTGCCAACACGAGCTGTGGTTCTCACCTGCATGAACCTTTCTCCCACTGGAGGGGAAGTCTCACTGTATCTGCAACAGACCCAGCTTCAACACTTCCACCAAGTCTCTATGTAAATATATGTGTGTCACCAAGAATGGGGAAACTAAATTTTGAGGAGAGGGCAGTCCCTGGATAATTAAAAAAATATAAATTAATTCAACTCAAGGTCAAGTTGTGTATCTTACTACTAGAATACATCTGGCATCTACAGGAAGAACCTGCAGAACAGAGACAAAATCCCAGAAGAAATAATTCAGAAGAACTTAGGAACTACTGTAGGCAAGCATCTCAAGAGGTGCTGCCATGACCAAAAACAGGGAGAAAAATCACTTTTGCACTCCTTTGGACATATGGACACAACAAGTGGTAATCTTACCTTCACAAGGGACATTGGAATGCTGCACCCTGTTCCACTATCGACATTTTTAGAAGAAAAATTGGACAGGCTACAGAGAAGAGCCTCAGAAGTTATTGAAAAGAGGAGAAAATTTCTCACAGTATGAACCAAAAGAACCTAAACTGCTCTGAATATTACAAAGATTGAGCTGTGTACACGAAGACTCCAGTGTTCAAAAAATTAAAAACACTGATTGTTTTAAAAGCTTATCAGAAAGCCAACAAAACTCCAGTGTTCAAAAAATTAAAAACACTGATTGTTAAGCTTATCAGAAAGCCAACAAAATTGACAGCAAAACAAAATCAACAGCTGCCAAATTAAGGCAGAAGTCATATTCAAAATGAAGCTGATTTTAATCGTAGGAGACCTAACCATCAGAACAAACAGCCAAAGATGTATTTAATATTCTACCCTTTCACTTAATATAATACAGGTTGTGCTTTTTCAGACACACACACACATTTTGTACTTCCCTAGTACCGTACTTAAAGACTACATGGCTGGCACATGATGGTCTATGTTTTATGGGGTCAGATGTGCTCAGTAATTAATCCTGCTGACCTCTGAGGTTTAGAATCTGTCACCTTGGGGACCTTTCCAAAGGAGCACAGTGTAAGCAAGAGGGCCAGGCCTGCCCACAACATGACACATTGATCACCCATCTCCATGCTACAAATGGACCTGAAAGCTTCTTCCAAGCTGCAAAATATAAAATCCTGCTGAAATTAAACTGCTGATGCCTTTTTGAATGTACTTTGATATAAGTACATCAGCAACTTGTCATCATCATTCGCATCTTATTCTAGTTTACTTTTAACAAAAAATATCAAATTCCACACAGAGAATTCAATAATTTAAATCTGAAGAAGTGATTCTATCTTGAAGCTCCAATTTATTCATGTCTGCAACTCCATTTTCCCCACTTAGGTCAAACCTTTCTAATGCAATTAACATAGCCTTGATATAGTAAGGCTGGGTTTTGAAAAAGCTAAAATGAAAATGATTTTATATCCCCAGAACAGACTTTGGAGCTTAAGGGGCAATGACAGCAGCAACACTGTATATACACATGTAATGGTAACATCATAGATGCAAATAGCAGTGGAGGTCCTTAATCCAAAATGTGGGAGCTACTACTTAGAGCAGAAAGATAAGAAAAGCAAAAAAAACCCTCAATAGTTTTGGATGAAGTAAGAGGAGAAACAAAAGAAAACAAACTACAGCAGGAAGCAGAGGACACTCCCTAAAATACTGCAAGTTTTTTTTCCACGTAAGAGAAAATGAATAATCGTGACAATAAGAAGAATAAACTAATTGAAAAAAGATGAGCTGCTTCAAATCCGTCCATGACGGGGCTGAAGTTCTTGCTATTATATTTATAGACAAAGTAAAACCACATTACAGAGAGAGAAGAATTTCTGCTGAAATTACAGCAACCTCATGAGACAGTATGCTGTGCCATAAAATACTGTACTGAGCTGCCATCCATAACAGAATCAAATCTTTGAGCTGAATCAAACCCACTCCAGGCTGCTGCTGCTTCCTTTCTCCTTTCCAAAATGATTTCCAGTGAACAAGTGACTTCTGGTCACTTGTTAGTTTATTTGCAAGCAATTCTGTTCAGTCCCCAGTGGTCCTGCCAGTCCAACGGAGAGCATCCAAGGCCATGGATTTTCCCTCTGTCCCACTCAGGGGGAGGAGAAGGCAGAGGAGATGTTGTAATTCATGGACGTAGATGGGCTTATGCCAAGAGAAATATTTTACGCTAGAAGAGGGCAACGCTTTTGTTCTGCTGATTCTGCTGTGAAGGCAGGGAGCACCATTCCATGATTCTGTAACCATCCCACACTCTTGTTTTTAAGGGTCCAGGCAGGTATAGCTCCTGGATTAAAGACGATGGAAAAGCTGAACTGGTGCTACCAATGAGAGACCTGGCAGCTGCCACCAAGTCACTCCTGAAATCTTCCATGCTGCTGCTCAGCCTTTCAGGCTGGGACATCACCAGGAGCTGCCTCTGATGCTCAGCAGCTCCAGAAGCACCCACACGTCTTTATCCACAGCTCCCACAACCTCACACAAGTTTTCTGGAATCATTCAATCAAAGTTCCTGCCCTGCCTTTTATCCTGTAAATTGTCCTGCACAAGTGACCAGGTACTCTTAAAAGGCAGACAGTGCCACACTGCAGTTGAAACTCGTGTAAACAGAGATATGACATTCAAACTGGTGTTTGCTCTTGTCATTAACTTTCTGAAATCCAAAAGTTTACATCTTGATGGAGATCAAAGTGGCCAAACTAATGTACTCTGGAAGCAAAGCCTGCACATTTCAACAGCCTGACTTTGCCACAAAAGGTGACAGAAGTCAGTGGCCTGCTGGTGTCTGATTTATCTTCCACGGAAGACAGAGCTCAAAGTCACATTTCCTTTTAGTTTTGTTTGGGTTTGCTGGTTTGAAGGGAGTAGGAGTGTGGTTATTAATCATTATTTAATTACCAATAACATTTATTTATATATATATTTATTTATTAATGATTATTCATTTAATTATTATTTTAATTTTTTTTTACAATTACCTTGATTTTTCCTCCAACCAGTACTTTATTTGCAAGGTTTGGGAACATCTTCCCTTGCTTCTATATGAAGCTGTCAAGTTGAAGGTTACAAACATACCAGTCAGTCTCTAAACCAAGCACCACTGGTCAAACTCCCAGAATTTTGTTCTGTTATTAAACATCATTTGAGTATTTTGCACTGCAATTAAAAATGGAAACATGGTTCATCAAGCAAAAATAAGTGCTAGGTAGAAAGAACCGAATTAACCCTATGAGCATTCATTGCCATCTCTTTCCTCCCTCATATATTTTAGAGTTACCTAGGTAAACACAAGATACATATAAGCACTGCTTCTCCAATAGAAGAGCCCATTAATATAAATTTCAGCAAGTTACTCTCACAAAGCAATAGACCACACCTTCAAGAACTACCAAAACACAGAAGTTTCTTGTATTTAAAACTGAGACTGCATTTATTACAGAGTATATTTACACCATGCACCAAACGAGAACAGTCCATAAGAGCCCAGAGGAAATTAAGTCTTCCAATTGTTTTTAGATGTTTAAAATTATAATTTTTATGCTTAATAGGTACTACTATTTTGAGAGCAGTAAGTATAAAGGTCAAGGATGACTGACTTAATTTTTCATTCAACAGCTAAGGAAAGCAAGATGTCTTTTCAAAACAGAAGAGGAATAAGTAAATTAAAAATAGAAATAAAAAGCAAGATTGCCCTGTGAAGGACTTTGAGCTACAGCTTTGCAATTATACTGTGCAGAGGCAAGGCTGGCACAGGACAGTTTTGTCATTCAGGCATCACATGAAATTTTCTGCCAACTCCTTCAAGTGTCAGCTGCTTTGCCACACAAGGTTTCACTGCTGCAAAAACAGAAAACAACTAGCTCTGCAGAGATGATGAAATCAATGTTCAGGCAGCACAGAACTTCCCAGCTGATCTGTGTGTTCTAACACACACACCTGGGTCCCTGTTTGCTCCCTGGTGCTTCCCTGGGACCGAGTCCAGCCCAGTGGAACTGATTTTGTGTTGTGCTCAGTTCTGTGCATCACTTCTGAGCTGTTCACAGCTGAAAAACTGCAGTCAGAACTGGACTCCCAAAAAATACACTACCATAACTCCAGTGAGTGCTTCAAGAAAATAATTTAAAACAAAAAATCAATGGTCAAAATGCCTTGGAAGATTTTTTTTTCCCTACACATAGACAAACAGCTCATTCTACTGGCTGATCATGCAATGATTTACATTGGTACTCAGATAATCAGGTTTCCCTTGTCACACAAACATCCATCCAAGGGACACTGCCAAATTCCAGCGTTCCCAGCTCCCTGGCACCGCTGAGGTGTCTCCCTGAGCAGGAGAGAGGATCCCAGTCACATCACACTCGTGGGCAGCAGATCCCAGGGCAGGATCCCAGTCACACCCCAGGACTCCAGCACCTTTCCTGCTCCTGCAGGCCAGCTCACGCTCACCCCTTGGGTACCAGGCCTTCAGATCTCCCTGCACATTTGCATCATGAGATGCAAATCATGAATTTAAGAAAAAAGGATAATTTAGGCAAAGACTAAACTATAGGAGAATTCATTAGCTCTCTCTGAAAGCAAATGTGCCCAATCTCCTGGTGGAGCAGGAGCTGCTGTGCTTCCCATTCCCCTGGGCCACTCCTGTCTCCCTGCAGAATGGTCTCCCTTTGAGCTCTGAGGCATAAAGGAAATGGAAATTTCCACTGACAGGTTCTCCAACTTTTGCATTTTTGCATAATATTGATAGTGCTGCACAACACAGACAAGGGACTGTTCTTTCATCTTGCTGGAACAAACCAGCCTCTCTCCAACACACCCAGACAAGGCTCTTTTCTGCCCTCACCAGCTCCATGTTTCTTGCATGTTTACTTCAGGAAAATATGAAAATGACTGCCAAGTCTCTAATTAGGATCAAAACAAATATCTTTCCCCCAAATGGCTAAAAATATACAATTTTTAAAATGTAGCAACTTTGCATATCTGTTAGATCCTAGTCTATACCCATCCACATTTTCATTCCAGCCAGGGACAGGGGACATCTGCCAATATCCACAATACATTGGAAAGAATTCTAATTTAAATAAGCTTTTAAAGGAAATAATCCTGTGTTGGACAATAGCAGTTGATGGCCAGGTACTTTCTAATACATAGGATCATTTGAAAGCAAATGTTTTCAATGGTTCCTAGGAAGAAGTACTATTTTTAAGAAAGATTTCTTTCTAAATTTAAGTTGATTAAATTCCTTCACTGCAACACCCTCTTCTTCTCACACAGCTTCTAAAAGCAATGCTTGAGACATTTCATAAGGGAAATATGCATTATAAAGTCATATATATTTTTAAAAGCATCTTGATGAATTTATACATAAGCAGGAGTGACTTCCTCCTAAAGCACTCAGGGATGTGAAGGATTGTTGTTCAGAAAGCAGCTCCTGTAGTAACTGTGTCATATACAGAGGCTGAAAAAGTATAAAAATAACCATCAAAACACAGGGAAGTAATAAATATTGAAAGAGGCAAATAATGTATGAACATACATTTAAATTGTAAATACTAAAATGCCAAATAAAGCAAAAGGAAAAAAAAGTCAGCCAGAACCCTACATTCTTAAATTTCCAACTAACTTGGCCAAAGTAATGTCCCACAGGTGTTTTATCAGCAAGCTTTGATCTCACACTCTGTACTTGCAGGAGCAGAAACAGCTGTAGAATCACAGAATGGTCCCAAGCACTCTGAATACTGAAGGTAATCTCTCACTCCTATTCCTCACTCAAAGAAACAGTCCCAACTGTTTGTTAAAATCAAATAATCATAAATAAAAATCAAATATAATCGGATTGCTGGAATCTGTAAGAAACACCAGGAAGAAGGATGGTCTCATCAGTTCATGGAAGACACAAGCTGCCAGTTCCCTTCTCACTTCTGAAGAACTCTGATACAAGGATGGGAGAAGCATTTCACCTCCAGTACACAACTAAAAGAATGAGCCTCAGGAGATCATGGCAGACTCTTTCTGCCTCTGGACGTGGCAGTCTGAACTGAAGCAAAGCACTGCAGGGTATTCCAGGTGCCCTTTGGCTGGCCTCTGCCCTGCTCACATTGCTCCAGTGCTGTTTAGGCAGGGGGTGCAGAGCGTGACCACTGCTCAAAAACTGCTATAAAACAAAACAAAAAACCCCAAAGCACAACTGATTGGATTTTTAACCCTGCCCCCTTCCCCAAAATACCTCCTAACAAGTGCTATGTAGGCACAACTGATGCCACCACAAAAGGATAATTCTGGACAGTTCAGCCACAGAACACCTTATCTATCTACCAAGCATTCCTAGAAGGAGTTTATCAACTAACTATGCAGCCCCAGGGCAGAAAGGATCATCTAATTCCATGTTCCAGTCTCAATTTAACCAAGTCATTTAGGTTGAGAAACTAAGCAAACTGCTGCATTAATAAATTACATTTTAATTTTTTTTTTTTAAATCACACAGAAGCCTAAAAACCTGTGCGACTCCAACAGTACTTGCAAAATTAATGTTATAACACAGAACACTGGCACAATTGTATCTGTACTGTCCAAAGAAGCTGGTATAAATATTGCCCTTGAAGCGGACAGATCTTTTGCTACAGTGACTTAATATGTTGATTTTGTGACCTGTGTTTTTGGAAGCCAGTCTGAAAGTTTAACTCAGAATACAGCATGAAAATAGAGACATGTACAAAAGGAATGTGCACTGCCAGCAGTTCTCTTCCTGAAACTCCTCATATCTGAGAACACATTAAGCGTTGCCAGTCAATATTTAATAGGTGTGTAGGCAATACAAAACACCAAATTTTCACAGAAAGCACTTAATTTTCTACACTACTGCCCAATGATTGTATTAAGTCTATGTAAGAAAATATATGTAGCAAATTTGTCCTAATATAAAAAAACCCCAGGTTAAGAGAGAATAACATGCTGCTGTAAATACAGCCTCTGTCAAAGTTAAATAACTACATTTTTATAATTTTAATATTTTACAAAGTTAAGTGATTGCATTTTTATCCACTTCACTCACAAAACATAATTGCTGGTATTATCAGGAAGTTTGTCCTCACAAAGACAATCTACCAGAACACAATTTTAGTTCTATTTAATGTAGTTTAATTTTGCTACATTTTAGAGCTCATTCTGCTGTTAGCAGTCAAAATAAATGTAGAGTAAAATGTATACTTTACCCAGCATAAAGAACACTCATACACAGTACTAAACAACAGGGGAAAGCAAAGCCCAAAGACCAAACTTAAATCAGATTTGCAGGTACTTTTAACACAGTGAGGATTTAAATGAACTTACAGTCAGATTCCAGTTGATCTGGGGTATTCTTGTGTGAAGGTTGAGACTGAACAAAAGCAGGAGAGCTCCGGTGACCACCAGAGCACTGCAGCTCACAAACTCAAAGAAATAAAGGCCCTCGCACGGGGAGCATTCCATGATGGTCTCTATGCAGATGAACGCGGTCAGCGCCAAAAGCTGGGAAGAAAAACAAGTGGAAAAAAAAATAAATAGATTTCCACATTTTGAAAGTAGCCACAAGTATTCCTGAAATTTCCATTGGGAACATGATCGGTTTACACTCAGGAATGTGTGATTTTAGTTTACAACAGGGCACTGTGTAGGGAGCCAAAACAAAAGCAATGTAAGATTTTTCTGGATTTGTCCCATTCAACAAAGAACAACGGAGCCCAATTACAAGGACTCTAACATCAAAATGACCAAGACACCCCAAAAAGCATGAAACCCCTGCAGGCCACTGGCTTAACATGCAAACAGTACCTCAAACATTTTACTGCATTTTTTTACTCATGATACACTATTCCAAAACTAGAGGATGGAATGCATTTGTCAACCTCAAGCACAATTACAGAGTATCAATGTTGTGCAATTGTCAAAGACATGTCAATAAAGATTACTACTTAAAATTCACTACCAATTGAGACCTAAATCAATTCAAAATAGGACAGATTCAGCATTTCTACCAGTCTCCAAAAATGCCTGCCTTTTCCACATTTATCATCATCAGTACACTATATTTCATATAAAAACATATTTTATCATTCCCTTATAGCACAATAATACAAGCAGCTAAGAGATGAAGGAAAATCCCCTGGTGCTGCAATCACAAACATGGAACTGGCACAATGACAGGTCACACAAAATTCAGAGGATGTATTGGAAGAGTTAACACGTGTGCACTTTGAATTCAACACGAGTTGAATTCACCATTTAGGATAAAACCCTGGCTCTTACTGTACTCGAAATAAAGTCTGCCAAGTGGACAAATATATCCCCCTCCAGAGGCGAGCAGGGACAGCTGCCACCACCATGGGACACCACTGGCACAAGCTCTCACACCACGCCTGAAGCAGCTGCATGGATGACTTGGGGGTTTTTGTTGTTTTGTTGGGGTTTCTGCATTTTCCAGGACAAGCAAGGAAGGCCTTAAGAATGTTTTGCTTTGGTTTTCAGGACAACCACCCCCATTCACCCACTGACATTTTTTAGAAAGAATTCTCTTCTTGCTGTGCCACAAAATTCTATCAAGGCTGCAGTAAGCACTTCAATCTGAGGATGAGAAACTAAACGAGATTCTTTCCTCAGACCCAAATATTCAACAATCTGAATGTTTTGCACAAACGTAAGTTTAGAAGACTGACAGAAGCCAGGATAAAAACCAATTTCTGCTAAATCCTTCTTTGCCAATTTCAATGTTTTTCAGAAAAACTTCCTTCAAGCACTTTTTATGCTTCACCCATTAGTTTGTCTTTGCCTCCCACAACAAAACTTGCAAAATGAAGAAATAGGATTTTGAAAGAAGTAACCAAGAAAGCATTTTTGCCACTAACATGAGCAGTAATTCTAAGAAAAGGACAATACCCCTCATGCTCATTTGCCACATACTTCAGAATACAGCAGAAAATGTAAATTTAAAACCAGATTAAAACTCAACCAAACTACTTTAATAAAAAACCTCATACTTGGTTGGAAAGCCTCTCACAGTTCATTTAGCACATATTCATTAAAGACAGCAGATGCCACACTAATTTTTGTCAGCTAACAGAGCAGGCCAATTCACATCAAACAAATTCTCAATGGATACCCAGTGATTAAACACTTCAGATTTTATCTTTGACACTGAATAGCTTCAGAAAGAAAGATCATGCATGAAATGGAATATTCAGAATCAAAGCAGAATCAAAGTCAAACTATGATTTCAGCAATGACACACATACAAAAAAAATTACTGTCCAGACACAGCCTCATTTTAAAGTATTAGCATGTAATGAAGTTCATCTTCTCTGTAAACACAAGCCTCAAAACTGAAGATGATGCTGAATGCAATTAAAAAGAAAAAAGCTTTAAAAACCAATCTTTGCTCTTATAAGAAGGATCAACATCACAACTTAATGCTAAATGTTAGCCAGCAAAATTTCTACTTCTAGATTCTCCAATATAATAAAGCTTCTATTTTTCTTGACACTATTTTTAATACATGACACTTGTAAACATTTTTTTAAAGGTATGCTTCTGTGTTGGGGTGCACTTCTGCAATTATTCTCTAGAAGTACTGTAGTACAAGCCCCACTTATTATTAGGTTCATTTTCTCAAAACATGAACAGCTCTGAATTGTGCCACCAACATTAGGCTGAAGGAGCCAAAATCTGTGGCACATCAGGTGCTGCACTGGGCAACAGCTCTGGTGTTTCGCTGATAAATTTTCACACTGATTCTTCTCCACACCAGGCAGCATTGCTTCTTCAAGGCCAACACACCCATCTTGGTTGGCAAAGCTCAAAAGAGACCGAAGAGTTTCCTTCAAACAGCATTAGAAATTAATTATGTACTGAAGAGGCACTTGGAGCAATGAACCCAAATAATCCCGTATTATTTACACATTCCCAAATCCAGAATTAATAAACTCCAGAGCAACTCTACATTTAGATTTCATTTTATCCCTTAAGAAATTATAAAATACATTTACCTGTGACACACTCTTATAAGAAAAAAAGCTGTGTACACTTAGGCCTGACTTAACAAAGCATTTCAAATGCAAGTAAAGATGTGCCATCAGTTTAGGACGTGCAGCAGCAGCAGTGGCCTGGGGTGTGGCAGCCCAAGCCTACTGATAAATTCACCGGAGAGGCTGGGAGAAAATCCCAGTTGCTTCCCTGTCTGATAGAGGGACACAGGAAAAGGACAATAATCCCATACACACCATTTATTTCTAACTCTTTGATACTTCAAATAAGATTACAACTAAATCTGTTAGCATTTTTCTTGCAATAAAAATATCTGTTCCTCTTCTCAAAGACTGTCCATGCTGCCAGTGCTACAGATAATATCCTCCTGCCACCTGCCACTCCTGTCTCACAGCAAAGCCATGGCAAAACATGAAATCCATTAATCACTTCATCAGAAAAAAGCTGTGCTCCTACAGAAACTTCCCTTTTCTTAATCACAATAGAAATCTCAGTCCTCAATACAAAATATATTCTCTTTAAAACATCAGGATAATCTTGTCCTCCTACACATTTATAAACTTGCCAGAAGCATCCTCCCAACTTGTAGTTACAAGTTATATGAAACTTCAATAAAGCATACCTACTATCACTTTCACTGGCCATTCACTCAGAGAGGAATCTGACTTCATTTTCAATAAAAAAGCAAACTACTCAGAATACAAGAAATGAAAGTGAAATACACAAGGTTGATTCCACCTCAGAGATCTAAAAAAATGTTGTGCAAATGCTGCTGCATGAACCAAAGCTGCTTCTCAAAGGCCACGGCTCATCCAGTGATAGGATACATTAAAAAAAACCCAACCATGTGTTGACATTCATTATCACTGTGGTTTTTAACGGATGAAATAAACAACTTACGAGGCAGTGTACATAAATGAGGCTGTGAATGAACAGAAACATCCCTGGCTGGCACTGCAAACTGCAGGGAAGTCCCTTCTCCAGAGCTTCCTTGGCTCTGCCTGTGGCCACAGCTCCCATCCCAGATCTAACTGCTGCCTGGCCTTTCCATGCTGACTACACACACTCTCCTGGGAAGAGGAAGCAAGGATGAAGAACCGCCAGCCCTCCTGAGAAGCCTCCATGCTCCATCCAAGTTTGCACTGCTGCAGGTGGCTGAGACAGAAGCTGCAGAGAAAAGCCCCAACTCCCCAGCTGCTACAGCTCAGTCCTTGCTTGGTAACACTCAAAACCCAGGACCCTGCTTCTGCCTCCCACAACTGCAGCTCCAAGACTAGCTAAAAAACCCCAGAAAACCATGGGAACAGCACAGTATCAGAGCACAGGTCTTGGCCAACAAAATACACCATGACATTTGTCCAACATAGGAGGCAACTCCCACTTTCAAATCACAAATCTTGTCAGAGTTTAGGGTGATGAGATTTGACAAGTTTTTCCACAAGCCGAAGTTTCAAGGCTGGTTTACCAAGGAAAAATGAGAAGTTGAATGTGGTGGAAATCTCCTCTTACATGAATTACTGCTCTCCCCCACAAACAACACAGCTACATCTTTCTTGGGCCGAGGCAAGAGAGCGTTTCCTCTGATGGATAAAACAAACAAGAACTTTGGAGAGCTTTCTATTCCACTCTAATTCCTCCACACCCTAAAATTGGGATAGCTCTCTTTTACCACTAATCTTTGTCTTTTTTTAGCAGTCACTTTTGGTTTCTCTTCCACTTCCACTCTTAGAGTAAGTACAGTGAATATTGCATTAAAATGCACCTTTGTCATGATGGAAACATCTGCTAATCCTGGATGTTCAGGTCCATGCAGAGGTATCCCAGGCCAGCTGCAGGAACACCTTTCTCTTGTAAGGATCTGCTCTACAAAGCAGGCTTAGGAGGAAAGAGCTATGCTCAGGTAAGCTGAGGAAAGGTCTGGCTCTGCCAGAGTGTGCAGTGCAGCTCCTGTGCTGTGACAGAGCATCCCTGCCCTCCATCCCCCATCTGCCAACACCACGTCTCACAGGCTGGAGGAAAAAGCCCCAAGCAAAGGGTTAAATAGGAGATGTGCTTCCCAATGATGCCATTTTGTGCTTTTAGCCCTCAATAAACTGGCAAGTGTTCCTGCCCGGGGTGTGCAGCACTGCCGAGGTAATTCCTGCACTGAGTCCCCAGAGCAGCTCCATGCAGCCAGGGAATTCCTGAGAGAGAGCCTCTGCTCCAGGATCCAATGTCCCTGGAGTCAGCCACACCAGCCTCCCACCAACACTGCAATTGATCTCAACTTTCCTGCAAACTCCCCCGGAGAAGGGCCCTTAATGAAGAAATCATCCGCCTTGGGGCTATGGAAATGGCTCATATTTACATCACTTTCTTGGCAACACAGGCACATCAGACATAAAACACTGTATTTCCCCAAAATGGAGAAGACCTGCTGTGACAGGTACCAACGCTGAAAAAGAACTTTTAGGAGGTTGCTTAATGGTGTATTTTTCCTGTCAGAATATGTT